ATCGCGTTCATTTCTCTGTTCTCGGTCATGGGTGCCCGTGTTCAATTATTGTTCAATGGTTTCGATCGTCCGAATCGAAAGAGCCGTGTCTTGTTGGTGAATGTCTGTGATGTAGCAAAGTTTTGTTTTAGTGCTGGCTGTGAACCGATCTGTGGAATACACCGTGCATTGCATTATTGCAATGAAAAAAGTATTCTCCATACCCACTTTTCAAGGCCTAAAATTGGTTTATTTCAAAAACAAAATGATCGATGAGATTCTGAATCAAAATATCTGGGTTTCTGTGAGGAAAGTTTTATTGACAATTCTCATCATAACTCCGAAGAAAGGGTAAATATAAGTATTCAACTTCCCATTTCTTAATAAATTCGTCAGTAATGCATATAGATGATATTTCTCCGAAAAAATCAATGAGTAATGTCAAAAAACTTCCACAGATACCCCAATATTTCAATTCAGAGACTAAACGTATTTTTTTGTTTTTTTTTTTGAGAACAATAACTTTGGATCATGAAAAGTGATAGTGTGGATAGGATATTTATTTTCATTGCAGTAATTCAAAGCACGGTTTCATAATGCATACCATCGAATAATGTTGATAACCTTATCACCACTGTTTGATGAATATACTAGAGTAGAAAAATATTGGGATAACTGTTGAAAATGAGCTACATTACAATAGCATGTCGAAATGTCAGGTTTCATGCAGATATCATATAACTATAATAAAATGAGACGAATTACTGCGTTACCTCAAGATGGTTGTGCCAGTAATAAAAACATGCTGTTTTATGTCGATAGTCTAATAACCACTGTAGAGTGGAGAGTTACTGCAACATTTTATGGGAATAATTCCCATTCGACATTCTGTATTATCATAGAAACTAGAACAAGTAGTAGTTATTCAGCAGCGGTGTTTTTATACAAGTTGGCAAATTGAATAAGCTGCCATAACTACAAGTCAGCTGAAAATTCACTTCATCTATGGTAGCACATGAACACATCTGTCCCCTATTTATTGCAGATATCGTAATAACGGTTATCAGATTTCCAATTATGATAACTCAAGTTTTCTCTCAGTGTACCCCCTTCAGGAATGAAAACCACCCTCACCTCCTTCCACTTCTGAGGTACATAAGTTAGGCTTAGACAGGCCTTGTATATGACCTCTAACCATGGAATCGCCAGGTTGGAGACCATCTGCATTTCCGCTGAGAATATCATCCTTACCAGGTGATTCGTAGGGTTGGAACTGTGCGATAGCTCATTCAATCCTCCTCGAGGTGACGATTGATGGGTTAATGATTTATTTGACGCTAGGAGCTGCTGGTTCGAATCGCTCGTCTAGCTGTTGGCCAGGAAAGTGTGTGTCTACGAGTAGCTCGACGGTTTCTACGTCCGTGGCCGTCCATGTGCCATCAGGTTTGCTGAGATTGCTTTGCGCCACTGGGTTGGACGAGATGATTTTTCGTAGCCTGTTGCCTTCTGTAGCGCTGTCGGTGCTAGTTAAAATGAGATAAATTTCGAAACAAAAATATTTGGGTCATTTTTATAGCATCGGGTAAAAGTTTTGCAGCGTGAGATCAAATCATCATGACGAACCGAATTTGGTGATTCTAGGATCCAAGAAAACGGCATTTAAGGACTTACCTTCGATATTTTTATGAGGCATGTTGGGCTAAATCTTTATATTTGGGTGTTTACTATCTGCAGTTCAGGGATTTCCAATTCTTATTTCAATAAATAATAGCTATTTATATATCAAGGGAGGAAAGGTATTCATGGAGGGCATTAAACACACAGACAAATGAAAATAATGATTTTTCATTCAACTTTCGCGGTCATAACTCATCAATTGATAAAATAAAAATTATACTTAGTCGTCCATATTAGTGATAATAATGATTGAAATAGTGACAAGTTCAGTTTGATATAGAAATTCAGCAATAACAGAGGAGATAACTTACACTCTTTTGATTTTCATTTCATTAAAGCAACAGAAATCCACATGGAACTTTTTTATCAAGTTCATTGAGTACAAAATATTTGCTAAATAGAAGCAATAAATGTGAATTCAACTACTTGATTCAAATCACACTAACTTATTTGACAGGTGTTGAGGTGAAAGAAGTAATAAGTTTTTTATGGTAACGAAAAATACAATATACTTTTTTTTTCATTGACTCGGCCGTTACTTGATGGAAATCCATGGCAAATGTATAAACTCCACAAACGATAAGATTTGCGCAAAATTCTGTGGAAATCTTATCGTTTGTGAAGTTTTGACAGAACGTCAATAAAGTCAATAAAAATCGCCATATTCAAAATGGTCAATCAGAATTTTGTGTCGGAACTCTTACCAATGAAACTTCGCACCTTCGCATTACCCAATCAAATTTTGGATCTAAAAACGAACGTATACGTCTTAAGAATATATCTATATGAAAAGGCCTATTGTGATATGTTTGAAACAGAGATATTTATGATTCTTTAGGAATAATGGGCATTGTTCTTCATTTTCATAATCGTTGTTTCAAATGTAGTACAATAAACAAATGCTATGATGATTCACTTACATATACAGAGTATTCAAAGTTAGTCATTTAATAATAATAATTTTTCCCAAATACGGACTTGTCCTCTAGTTTTTCAATTAGGTTGGGATCCAACAATTTGGAGAACATGAAATAGTTGATGATTTTATGGATTAAGAATGAAAAAGTGCCATTTGAAACCTATAGATGTGACTCAAATTAATAGGTAAGAGTTGTATGCGGAAACACTAAATAATTTCAGTCATACTAATTTTTTTCTGCTCCTTCCAAATTTGTTAATGAGATTTCAAAATTTTGACATATAGGGTGTTGTTTCGACTCGAAACCTACTCGTTAATTCCATCAAGGCCGGCCCTGGAATGAAACTGTTATTTATTATGTCAATCGTCACCACTGTGGACAAGGAACATGCAAACCAAATATCAATGAATTGTATAGGGTCGTGGTTCATAAGTTATGATTAATTGAAACAATGGGAGAAATCAATAAATCACCCGGTATCTTGTTCATAAAGAACGATAGACCCATGAAATATAGATTATTCAGGAGCACCTCAGTGTCCTCCATCTAACCCTTACTGCTGTTTGCGCATTTTCCAATCAATCACTCTGTATAATAGAATATTTGTTGCAGGATGAAAACATTTTATTATCCTTCTGAGAAAATTCTATCGGATTTATCGGAATCTTCTAAAATAAGAAGGTATACAGGGTGTTTCAAAAAAACCTAAACCCCTTGCTAGGGTAGGTAGAACATTGCAAAATAATTTGGGTATGCTCAGTGAAAAAATGTCGTTACACCATCCGTTTTCAAGATACAAGGTGTTGAGAACACATTTTTTACGATTATGTTGAAACTACTGGCTTCGAAAGCTGACACATCGCATCAATTTGTTTTTATATCTGACACTCATAGAGGGCGCTAGTTACACGGTTCGTACCGAGTACTTTCAAACATAACTTTTTTGAAGTTAGATTTTTCAGTCCAAATTTAATGTGAACTTGAAGATCATTCAATTTTACACTAAAAATGTGCTCTTGGTAAAACTTGATTCTGTGTTCCGTTTTCGAAAATTCTGAAGTATAAGACTGACGCTAGTTGAAAGTAAGTATTATAAAAGACTGTCACCTATTCATTAATAACCACGTCAGGAGCTGCAAGAAAGAATTGAACATCACTTCGATGATTTCATAGCTGATCCTCAACCGTTGAGAAGATGTATTCTTTAGAAAAAAGGATCGAATTGTGTATTCGTGAAAACGAAGAACATTTTGGACACTTACTCTAACTAGATGATGTTTTTAGTAAAATTTAATTAAATATTTTCTGATGTGATTTTGTTCAATCGATAACTTCAGCAGTAAAATAATGTTAATGTTTTTGGTCCTCAATAAATAGATGATTGTTTTTCATAATACTTATTCTAATACCAGAATCAGAGTTATTGCTTCAGCATTTTCAAATCGAAATATTCCGAAAACGGTACACAGTATCGAGTTTCACCAAGCGCATAATTTTGGTGTAAAATTGAATGGTGTCTAAGTTTACATTGAATTTGGACTGGAAAATCTAACCTCAGAAAAGTTATGTCCAAAAGTACTCGGTACGAACCTTGTAACTAGCGCCCTCTATGAGTGTCAGATATAAAAACGAATTCATGCGGTGTGTCAGCTTCCAGTACACATCCATACGAAATTTCATCACAATGTTGCCAGTAGTTTCGACATAATCGTAAAAAATGTGTAGAAAACATATTTGTCAACACCTTGTATCTTGAAAACGGATGGTGTTACGACATATACGACATATACGTGTTACGACATATATTGGCTAGACATGCTATGAAAAGCCTCAGTTGCCGTCGTGATTGTCAATCCACAGTGTTCCTTTTCAAAGTGGTGAATAACATTATCACTGACTCACACATTTTGCAGAAGCTGAATTTCACTGTGCCTAGACAAACTTCTAGAGTTTTCAATACATTCTATCTTCCGACACTACGAACAAATATTCTGAAATATTCTCCTCTCCATAACATGTGTTCTATATACAATAATTCATCAAATAATCAGCCAGATATCTTTCATTGCTCTATCTCTACGATTAAATCTTTTTATTTCAGCTAAGGTCTTGCCTATATTTATATACTTTTCCAAATATGAAAAACTGTATTATTAGTTATACTTATTTCTCTGTTCTGTAGTTGGGTTTGACCTGTAGAACAGTGTAACATTAAATAAATAAATAAATAAATAAATATTTTCACTGAGCAAACCCAACTTATTTTGCGATGTTCTACCTACCCTAGCAAGGGGGTTAGGTTTTTTTGAAACACCCTGTATTTGAACGTTGTCATAATATTCTAAGAATATTTTGTGCTGTCTGGAACGGAACTATGTGCATATTTTTCTCCGATGGAATATCCATGTGTAATAATTTGCTTACCACATATTGGTTGACAAAATCCAATAGGAGTCACAGGATCGGTACATCTGAAATCATCTTTTGTGGGTACTGAGTCACAGACACCAACATAAGCCTCAGCATTTCCACAAATGCAACCGGTTACATCATCGCATCCTTTGTTCGTTACGAAGAAAGCATCCTGCAGATCTTCCAAGGTGAAGATCGTGTCTAGAAAAGGAAGGATATACCTATCGAACAGTCGAAGTTATCATCTGTTTTTCAGTAGTGTTAAGTCCCTGGACTTTCCAGCATCATATTTTTGTTCATTGTTGATATACGATTTTTAGAAATAATTAGTCTCATAGTTGTCGGTATACTCAAACAAATTGATAGGTTGAATCAACCAAAAAAAAAAAAGAGCCTATATCAGGTTTGATAATTAAATCAACCAGCGAACAATAGTTGAATATGTTTAGTCACCATACGAATGGAATTGTTGTTTTGATCAAGAAAATTTGTTATCAATCAGATTTTAGTCTCACAACAAAATGAGTGATCATATTTGTCCCTCCACTTATATTTTGTATAGGTAGCCATATTATTTGGTTCACCAACAAAGTGTATAGTAGATATAGGTCATGGACGTATAAATACGGTATAGGTATAGGTATATTGACTATTTTTCAGGTTCTTGTACCACTGAATTAATACAGATTTCTAATGAACATCAAGTTTATTTATTACATCAAATTTTCGACATGTTAAGTTTGTAACGAAAAATAGAAAAAACATTTTCCTAGTGTGTCTACTTCTTCAACACAAGTAACATTGTGGAACACTTGTTTCCTGTTCATGTAAGTTGGAGAATTCCAATTCAACCTAAAAAACATATCGACATTATATTATTTACCAAAACATTTTTTCATCTTGACCAAAACGAAACTATTATCTAAGTGTTGAAGGGTGGCCAACTTTACAAAATATCTACAGTATAATTCTCTTTATTTGTAAATTCTCGTCTCCGTAATTTGAATGTACTCTTCCATAGTTTATCATCTTCGTTCTGCAAGAAATGTGTAGACATGAATAATAAACTCACAATCACATAATTTCCATCATCTGATGAATTTTCCTCATCATGAATATTAATTGGGAAGACTACATTATAGTGGTACTCCTTGGCCAGAGATTTCAAAATTTTCTCAATCTTCTTGTATGGTTCTGGTACTTGTTATATACAACTTCCCTGGTGATATATCCACTCCTTTTGTACTAAATGATCCAAAAATTGAAGAGAGTCCTGAGAAAAAGAGATGAACTATAGCAATTATTTCGTACAGTGTTTAAATCATTACCAAATTAAGTACTAAATTACAACTCGATATTGAATACATTGATTACATAATCGACTTACCAAAATCACTTCATTGCAGAATAGGTAATGATGATATCAAAATAATATAAAGCCACAACACGAAGAACCAAATAAGACGTGAGCAAGAAAATCTCATGTGGGCGCTGTCGCCCTGCAAATACCAATATGGAAAGAACACAAGCTAATTGTCAACCCTTCAAAGAAGGTTGGTTGATTTTAACCTACGTTTGTCTACCAACTATGACAGTGAACGAGCTGTAATAATATATTAGTTGAGATGTTTATGATTCACTTAATATAGTTGAAATACTATCTTTAGTTTGATTTGAAATAGTTTTTTCCATGAATGCACAATCATAATTTTAACTTTTCTTCGTTCGAAATTATTCTGAGAGATTGTTATCTATTATTATTGTTAATTTTGAAAATGACCGCTCTCCTTATTCGTAACTTGTCACTGGTAGTGTTGAAAACAACTCCGAAGCAGTGTATACATTGAGGAATACGTCCATCATTCCACTATACATGAGGGTACCGTTGATTTCATATGGACATTATTACTATTTTCTAAACGGTAAGACATAGCAAGTTGATCAAATTAGACAAAAGTTGCGTATTTTAAACCTCTTCAGTATGCCGTTTCGCAAACTGACAAAATTTCAGCCGTTTCTGAAATATATTGAAAACACTGAAATTAATTGATTTTGATCTTGATCATTTCTTTGTTTGTTCTAAAATTTGTTCTAAAATCTGTTCTATCCGTCATTCGGTTGCCCCGTTACGAGCAACCCTCAAAAGTCTTCGAAAGTCTTGTGCGAGCAAGGAATGACGGGGACCTTACCTTTTAACGTGTGATCCCAAACACTTTCTTGGGCCATCAGAAAAATTTCTGCAGTCGACGGGGATCGAACCCACGACCGGCAAGCGAATGCGAATTAGAATATAGACACTCTGTCCGCACGGCTACCTGGCCACCGATCAATATTTGAGAAAGAAATTCGTAAATTTACGGTAACAAGTAGGTACTTAATCATGACAAAGAATCATAAATATTCTATCTCCATTATTTTCAGAGACTCACAATGACGACTGATATTTTGTTTTCTTATAATTATGGCCTACCACATTTTTTGAAATGTAGGACAGTTTAATTAAGCAGTGATGATCAGCGAGAAATTGTTTTCATTTGATAATGTCGATATGGCTGCTGTAAAGGGAATTCTCAGCTCTACTTAATGATTATGAATAACACATATCATGGCGCCTGATAAAAAAACAAAAGTTGCGAGGTAAATCTCTGAAAATAATGAAGATAAAGTTTGCCAAACTGCATATTTCAAGAGGTTCAAGTTACGCAACCAATGCCTCTTATTATAGCAATACAGGCTGAGTCATTAGAGGCCTCTGAGGAGAATACCGAATGTCCATCAGAAAGTGTCTTCCACCCTTCTTTTCCAATATATAGGGTGAATTATGACATCTTTTGGTCATAACTTTCCAATAGCTTCTACGATTCGTCTGATATTTTCATGGAATATTCCGCTACTACTCTCTAATCGACTGAAATGTTGATAGTGTAGTTTATAGAAAAAAGTTCATCCTGTATATCGTTTTTGTAAACTGTGACAGGGAATTTTCAAACGTCACAAACAAACATCAAAAATAAAATATTCAAAATTTTTCTCACACTTCCACACTGTAGTTTGAGAAAAACTGTGAACTTCATAAAAGAACGAAAACTTGACAAACAATTTATTTATTCTGAAATTAATACTTATTATTATTATTAATACGCGACCCATACATTTCACGGATGGAAGTGAAACTTACATTTTATCATTTTATTTTCAGGCCTGGATTTAGTGATTAATTTTTTTTCTGGAGGAAAAATAATAATCACCCTGTAGATCTCTTTCGAATCAGTGGATGAGGTATCTGAGGAAATGTTGATGGCCATCGCTATACATAATTTTATGATTTCATTTCACAGTTTTATCTATTCGATTTGTTTTATTCAGTTAATTTAGTCACTTATTTTCCGTACTAGAATTATTATCCGCCTTTGGATGTATAGCACTTGAAAAATATTTGTGAGTAAACATTTATTTTCTGTTCGACTATTTTGAATTATTTGAATCGATGACCAGTAGATAGTTTTCACCGGTTCTGGGTCTCCGCCCAAGGCCAGAGGAGTGCGACCTTGGGCGGAGTGGCCTTGGAGTGCGACCTTGGGCGGAGTGGCCTTGGAGGTGACCTTGGGCGGGAGTGACCTTGAGCGGAGTGACCTTGGGCGGGAGTGACCTTGGGCGTGACCTTGGGCGGGAGTGACCTTGGGCGGAGTGACCTTGGGCGGGAGTGACCTTGGGCGGGATGGTTTTGCAAGGAGAATTCTCAACAGATTGGCCTTGAAGGAATATGGACGACCTCGATGTGTAGGAATTACGTCAATCATGTTATAAGCTACTCAGAGAGATAGAGTGGTGGCATTGAGTTTTGCAGGCGATCTCTAGGGTGAAGTAACATCGAGATTGATGTACCCTCGGATTATTCGCATTTGCCATATGCGAGACTTCGTCAGTGATGTTGTTGTTAGGTACCCATAAGCTCGGACAGGGTAGTGACCTCTGATGTTGCGGACGATCCCGTGAATTCGGACAGAGTGGTAATTTTTTGGTTTGAGAAGTGGAGTAACCTTGAGGGGTATTGATTCACGCGATGAGTGACCTCGGATTATTTGAAAAATTTCGTTTTGTATTCGATATATGCGAGATTGTGTCAATAATGCTGTTAGGTATCATTAAGCTTGGACAGATTGGTGACATTGGATGTTGCGGGCGATATCGGGAGCAGATTAACCACGAGAGGTCTTGATTCACCCGATGAGCGACCCCGCACCATGAGTGAATCATTTATCCTCGAGAAATGTATATTTATTCTGAATATGTTAACCAAAAATGTTTTTTTCGATAGGAAGGTGACCTTGCAAGAAAACCGATTCACTGAATGAGTGACCTCAGGCAAATTGTGGATTGCATTTAATATAGCCAGAACTCTTGGAAAATGTATATATTTTAAAAAAAAATTTTCTTTCTCGACGAGATTTGAACACCTTGCGAGAGAGACCCGATTCACCCCGATGAGTGACCTCGGACAGATTATGGATTGTTTTTGATTCAAAATGTATATAAGTATGCAAGATTATGTTGATGAGTCACATACCTACGCATCGATTCTATACAAAATAACGGATTTCGATAACAAAATCTATACCTATATGTAGATTTATATTCTCAAAACTCAGTATCGAAATTTCGGGTGCTTATTGTTCAGATGAAAGAAATAATACTTTTTCTCATAAACTCGCGCCCGCAAACGATTCCTCACCGATCTATTTCGGAATATTCAGATCGAATTTGAAACAAGGGCTGCGTTTTAGGGTTCACACTATCTATACAGCATCATAAGTAATTGTAAGAATCTACATAGGTATATTTACAAGGGGTCAAGACCTTTTTCACTCCATAAACTTTCTTGTGGCGCGCCACTGATAGATATTGATGTACGAAATGAGCTCTTTGTTCCATTCGCGAACTTCTTTGTCAATTATTATTTCAATGCATCTGCGACCGTTATCATTTCTCCATAATTCGCTAGATTTAATCAATATTCTTGAAAAAGGAGAGTGGCCAATTATCACGATTATTTAAAACAAACAACGCTACATAATATTCAGTTCGTGATCTCGAATACAAGTTTCCAAACATAGCCTAAAGAATTAGAAAACGAACAAACCTTGATTTTATATAGAATGTTTTTCGAAATTGTGGCGATTTATAAAATGGGGGATGTGTTTTATGAGACATAAT